ATTAAGATTGTCAATTTCATGTCTCTTATTTAGACTACATTAATTCTAATATAATTATTACAACTATGATGTTTTCTTATTTTATATTTCACTTATCAATAAATATTTATGCACTTAAAAAAATTTAAAATATTTTATTATTGATTTTGAAAAGATCAAAATTACTCTTGAAAAATGTACAAATGTACAAAAATCAAAAGAAATGCGCAATGGTTCGCAAGTTGAAAAAGAGGCACAAAATAAGCCAACAAGTAAAAAGATGCAAAAAAATGTGTCACTAATTTGAAAAAGATGCGCAAAGCGCTATATATGGTAGTTATTTATTTCCATTATTTTTTAATCTCTTAATTCAAATTGATCTACTGTACATTTGTATTCTGTATTGAAAGTTAAAATATACAAGTTTTCTATTCATCCTTTTTGCAATGATTTTCTTTATCTTAGTGTCTAAATTGACTCTTATTTTTTATAAATATTTTTTTTATCAATTTTATCTCTTCTTAAATTCTATGAATTACTATGATTTGCCTAATATTTTAATTTTATTTACATCACTTATTTCAATCACTTTCAAGATTGAATTATCAAATGATTTTCATATGTCTGCTTACATTTCAAGTCTTTTTCTTCTTCACTTTTTGCTGTTGTCAAAAATGGGGAAAAATAGTTTGTATCGTGGTATTGTACCGCAATTGTTTGATTCGTATTGTATGTGTGTTTGTTTTTGTTTTTTGTTTTATTGTTTGTGTATGTTGTATATGTTGTGTGTTTGTTTTGTTTTTGTTTGTTTTGTATTTCTAAAAATGCCTCCTTATTTTCACGTGTTCATCAATTCAGGGGAAATTTAAAATATTCTTATAATTTGAAATTATATAAACAATAATTGTTTTGCCACCATTAAAAGGGGGGATTGTTAAGAGAGTTTCTATGTGCATGGTTTACATTCTAGCAACTTGTATAATTTTTATGATTTCAAATATTATTGTTTTATGTGTAGTTATATCCTAACACTTATTAGAAGATTTATTTTTGCTCTTGTGTGTACTAACATTTCAGGAAAATCAAAATTCAAACTACGAAGACTTCAAATCAAATTCAGCATGAGATACTTTGTGTATTTAAAGCTTGTATTTTTCTTTGAATTAAGTTTGAGAGGGAGTGATTGTAATTGAGTGAATAAACACACACACTTAAGGAGATCTTGAAAATTTTGTATTGAACGTACGGGACGAACATAGTTCGTACGGGACGATCAGGTCAGTTATCTCCTTGTAAGAGTAATGGAACGAACATGAATTAAAGAAAATTTTTCTAAGTCCCGATCGTCCAGGATGAAGTTTATTCGTCCCAGGACGAAAAGTTCTCTGGGAAATTTTCGTTCAGACAAAATTTATATTCGTTTCAGGACGAGTTGCTCTCTGGAGTATTTTCATCCAGGACGAAGTGTATTCGTCCCACGACAAAATCTCCTCTGGAGAATTTTCGTTTAGACAAAATTTATAATCGTGCTAGGACGAGTTGCTCTCTGAAAAAATTTCATCCGGACGAACCCATATTCGTCCCAGGACGAAGTAAACCGAATCTAAAATTTTAGTGACGTTCTGCAGTTTTTGGGAACCGACCTATGGAATAACCGTTTGTACTGACCTAGTTCGTACGGGACGATGTGTGTGTACGAAGTCATTCCATACCCATATACATTAGGTTCGTTTCCAACGCATTTAAGTAAAATCGTTCAGGGCGATCCACGATCGTACTGGAGGATCCAATGCATATTGACTTGAAAATTTGCAGTTTTGGACGGTTTTTTGTGTCTTTCCTATAAATAGTCCAATCCAAACTGCCACTTAATCTTTTTGCCTACTAATCTTCGTGCCTATTGAAAGAAGAGTCAAGGAGAGAGTGTTCGAAGGAGGATTCTTACTACTAGAGCATGAAGGCTTCACTTGGTGTTCAAAGGTAAGAATCTTTATTTTTGATTTGTGTTTACTTCACTCTTTTATTTCTTCCTTCTAGATTTCTTATGAAGAAAATCTGTCAAGGAGATCCGGTTCTCTGCCGACACTTGGAGAGTATGAACAGCTGAAGGGTTTTCTACCCACATTAGGAGAGTGTGAAAAGACGAAGGGTTCTCTGCCCACACTAGGAGAGTGTGAAAGAACGAAGGTTCTCTGCCAACACTAGGAAGAGTGTAAAAGGACGACAGTTCTCTGTCGCGCCGGGTAGTGGTGGCAGAGAGTTTTGTAAAGGCTTCTCCGCCTTGCTGTGGGTGCAAAAGGAGAGTCACTAGTGGTATTAGTACAATACTCGGAGGGTGCCTCAGGGGAGTGGATGTAGGTCTGGTTTTGACCAAACCACTATAAATCTTGTGTCTTTATTTTTCTGCTATTTTTTATTTTTATGTTTTTACTTTTAAAACTGGTTGAAAAACGTTTTCTAAAAAAATTCACTAAAGTTTTATTTTCATTTCCTAATTTAAAAAGAGGGTTAATTTTTTTTTTAATTACCAATTCACCCCCCCTCTTGGTTAGCCGTGGGACATAAGCTTAGGTTTAACAACCTAATTCATAGTGAACGAGTTTCAACAATATTGAATGGGATTGTCACTTCTATGGTTAAACCAATTAAAAAATGTCCAACATAAACCAAGACTGAATCGTCAATATTATATATGAGATTATTAAAATCTCCAAATTTGTTATTTAGAATGTAATTTCTCCCATATTTCTCCTCAGGAGACTTACAACAATTAAAGTCTCCCAAAATAATCCAAGGAGAAGAAATGTCAGTCGCCACAACAAGAATATCCTTCCATAAAACTAACCTTTCAACATAAGAGTTTGATGCATAAACAACAATGACAAAAAAGGATTTGGAGGGGCCACAAGTTATTCTACCATGAATCATTTTATTAGAGAAAAAAATGAGGTTAAATGAGACATAGGAGGCATTCCATTTAAGCCAAATTTTCTCCAAGTCAGAAGCATCAAAATTATTAAGGCATACCTCATTAGGATAAATACAATGAGAGACAGAGAACCCAAGGTTGGTCATCATAGAGGAGTAAATCTTAGCTTAAAGAACACACATCATTTCCAAATTGTGAGATCAAACCAGCTCTTTACAATTTAGAACTTTTTCTGGGTATTGAAACCTCTAAAATTCTAGCATGCAATATTAGGGAGCATCATTGGGTCTTTGTGGAAGTGTTTGTTACCTTCTTGGCAATTTTGGATCGAGTAGGCTTTATTAATTGATTAAACACTTGGGAGGCCACTTGGGTAGGGGCCTTAGAGATAAACTTAATAGGATTAAGAATATCCAAAGGGTCATATGACTACAAGACCTTAAACATGTTTTGAGTGTTGTATTTTTTAGGGCGAGGAATAGTAAAAGAATTTGAAGGGGATGAGATGTATTATGAGGGGGAGTTAAGGAATGTTGACCTTAGTTGAAAAGAATAAAGCTTCAATATGCTGGCCACCCTCAATAGAAGCAAACAAAACCTCTATATCATTATAAGGAATGGGGTCTTGGTTAGTGTGATTGGTAGCAGGTTGTTGAGTGTTCGTAGGAATAGAGAGTCTACAGGGAGGCCTTAAGGCTATACGACTTTTACTCCTTCCCCTCGGCAACTCATCCTTTGGAAGTGTTGGAAGGAGAATGTATGTGACAAAGGTTCGATGGATGAACCAAAGAACCGCAACGTAAGGGACTGACTTTCAATCATGATGAACTTTAAGATTATAGTTCTCCCCAACAACACAAAAAGGGATTTCATCTAGTAGGGGAGAATTGTTTTGAATTTGTAAACAAACACACACAAAAATTATTCTAATTTTTTCAATGATTAGGTCTTCGATAGTTATGGAAAAACCAACAGAGCTAGCTATTTTTGAAATCCCTTCCAAATTCCAGTAAGAAAGAGGTTAGCCGAGAATTTTTATCCAAAGAGGAATAGTGGAGAGCTCTTCCTGTTTAGGTCAAAAATGGGGGTTGACCATTTTTGGAGGATAAATGATTTTCCAAAAAAAACAAAAAAATATTGACCTGCCATCCACACAATATCAAAATCATCAAAAGATGAAAACCTATCTTCATAAAAATGATTAAGAAATAGAATAACCTACAAGTTGACAAACAATTATTAGAATATATATTTTTCATCATAACAAAATTTTGAAATTTCCACTCCACTTGCTTTTTGCAATTTAAATTTGAGTTATGTTTCTAGCATTAGCAAAGGCAAAAAGATCTTGCACAAGTTAAGTTGAGCTAATTCGAGCTAAACAACACCAGATCACATCAACATAACTCTATCTACTTTATTTATGCATCAAAAGAGACCCACAATCTATAAGAAAACTTGCAACAAGTAACTACTATATGACATCCATCTTAGTAATAACTCAAAGAAGGATGGTTTCTCAAAACAAGTTGCAACTAGTCGATTAATCAACTATCAATATATGCAAATCCCACAACTTAAAAATTCAGCAGATGACTTTATGAAGCCAAATGTCACATTGAGCTACTTCATTATAATGCTCTCTTTTTTCCATATAGCAATATATGTTATCAATTCTATGATGCCCAAATTTCAACCCAAATTTATCAATAGAGGATTGAAAGAGAAGCTCTCATTTTTTTCACTCAATATTCTCAATGTAATAGGAAAAAGGAAATATTATATATTTATTTACAACATATAAATGAAAAAAAAAACTATGTTATAACATTTTAATCAATAATTGATGACTATTTTTAAAATTTGCTTTAAAATAAATAAAGTAAAAAATTAATTAATTATCCACATATTACTTGTCCAAATCAAAGAGTGTTGAAAACCATCAAAACAAAATTTTAGTCAGAAAAATTCCGACCTAATTTTTATTGAAATAGAAAGTTTTGTAAAAATTACATCAATGGAATAGATGCAAACCAAATATTTTTACTAACTAAGAAATGTCCCGCTAATCATGCAAGAAAATATGCCAAAGTGAAATAAAAGCAACGATTATTATTCGAAGAAAAATAGTTTTGTTGTGAACCTTCAATACATATCAAGGTGGCATCAACAAAATCAGATATTTGGATTGAAGGCAGTCCACCCTCCATAAATTGGTCTGTGAACCGCTAAATTCAACCTTTTAGCTTCTCTTGAGCAGCGCAGCAGTTTAGCCATGACCAGGTTAAAGAAAGAAATAAATAAAAATGTAGACACCTATATATCCTAATACCCATCTGTCAAAAAAATTACAAAGTTTAATGAACAGGCTGTTCACCTATAATTCAAGCTAAAAACATGACAGCACTAAGAGCTGCAAACAATATAGCTTCTGGATCGAGCAAAGAAGGAACTTAAATAGAACGACCTGCAAGTTAAGATACAGTTCTTGATAATGTTAGGTCGTCGTGACAAACAACATGTATGAATAGAGAAAAATATACCAAGGCAAATACTAATGAATGATGATATCTAAACAAGAAACATAATTTATGTCAATGTATGCGTTTATTTAGTTCAATCTCTCATATTTCTTCAGAAAAAAAAAATGAATAAGCAATAAAAAAGCAGAGCAGGGAATAATAAAACCTGTGATCAAACTTTGATAAACCACTTCGGATATGATCATTTCCGGCTCATCATCATTTCTTGAAATTGTACTCTCTTTGCATTTCTAATATCAACAATACTAGGCGGGTAGGGGTCAAACTGACCATTTTCTTCAACCAGGTGAAAGAATTCCTGCTTAGTGAGACTTTTCTTTGTAACAAGTTCGTCAACAACCTTGTCCATAAGGATTCTATTCTGTTTCAAAATCTGAAAGAGAAACGGAGCAACGTATAAGACCAATATATAGCCTCGTTTTCATTCTTTCTAAAAGCAATGTGTAAGAAAACTTGTACTTTGTTAGCTCTTTCATAGCATTTGCTAAGAATATGCAGGGCCTCCAGATCAATTTCCTGGTGAAGAAAACAAAGCTGTAATTAACATGTCAATTAAAAAAAAAAATTATAGGAATGCGCAATCATATCATCATACATTAATTCGATCCACAACCCAGAAATCGGCCAACCCATAAAATTTCTCGGAAAGACCACCAAGAACAAAACTTCTTGCAGCAGATCTAGCATTGTCCGCTGTTTCTGCCCAAATTGTACTCAGCTGCAGAAGAAAATGCACAAATAAAAAATCCCACATCTATTACAAAAAACACAAGTCCTAAAAAAGAGTTAAAATTAAGAAAAACAGAGAAATAGCAAGAATATACCCCAAAAGTGTTAAACTAGGAAAACGTTTTATTATATGAAAGAGAAATAGAGAAGACGTGTAATGTCATATTTCACTAAGGAAGCCTATTTTTTCATTCCTCTCCATGCCACCTCCCTACACCCTCACGTTACACGTCAACCCTAATGTAGATTGCATCATCGTCAGCCTTATCCAAACTATTTATGGTGGTGGGCTTAATGAATCCGAATTTTGTAATAGTTTGTGTTACGAGCTGCTTACGGAGCTAGAGCAGGTTGCTGTGGCTGCGAGTGCGGAGCACACAAGAAAAGTAGGTTGTAAATGCGGGGAAGGATTTTGAGAGCACATGCATTCCTGGTGGTGTTTCAGATTTCTTTTAAATCTTTTTCTTTTAGAAGAGAGATGAATTATCTTAATAAGTTTTTTAAATGCTATTATTTTCATTTTCATTTCTTAAAATTTATTGCCATTAGACGATATGACCATCAGTTCAAGGTGAATTAGAAAGTGCATTCAATACTTGTTATGGCCATTAGTATTTAAGTCTTATTTGGATTAGTTTGCAATCAATTCTATTGATGATCCATTTGTATACCTTTAAACTGAAGATTTTAATATAATACCTTGAGATTAGTATTTGAGACCTTAAGACAGCATAAGTTTTAACTTTTAAGTAAACATTTTTTTAATTGTGAATTATACCTGAAAGTGTAGCATTCTTGGGTTACATTATTAGTGGAAATGACATATCTATAAATCTTCAAAAGGCGTAAGCTATTTCTAATTGTCTAAGGCTTATTAATGTATAAGGGGTACTTAGATCTCCATGGTACGACAGATTATTATAGGAAATTTGTTAAGAACTTTCACATATTCCAGTTCCAGCAACCAAAATGTCACAAAAGGCAGTACCATTTGAGCTTACAATTGAGTGTGAGAAAGTTTTCAAAAAGTGAAGGATTATTTGATAACAAAACCTATCTTGAGTATTTCATTGAGTATCGAAGGATTTTAGATGTTCTGTTAAGGGATTAGGCTATGTTTTGATCATTTGATGCAACATGGGTAGGTGCACACATATGCATCTAGACAATCAAAATCCCATGAGGATGATTTTTCTATACATGACTTGGAGTTATTTTCGGTTATGTTTGCATTAAAGATTTAGAAATATTATTTGATAGAGTAAAGTGTGAAATTTATGCTAATTATCAAGCTTGAAGTGTAATTTTAACTCAGAAAGAGTTTAATTTAAGGCAAAGAAATGGTTTGAGTTTATAAGGATTATGAGTATTTAATATCAACCTAAGAAAGCTAATATTGCGGCAAAAACATTGAGTAGAAAGCCTACAAGGGTCGTAAATTCTAAGATTATGATGCAATCAAGGATTATCATTTTATATTTTATATTTTATTTCTAATATTTTGGATGTTATGTAATTTTTTACTATGTTTTTTTATATGCCCTATAATGAAAATCAACCCATGATCATGCTTGGGTTTGGTGCTCTTAGGTATTTTCTCTCCTCTTGCTTTCCACTCATATTGAATTTATTTACTTGCTTTCTTGATGGCTAAGTGGGTATTTATCTTCGGGTTGTTTTTGTCCTTGGTGGGCTTGTCCCATGTCTGCATATACTGAGTAGTGGTTGTGTATTCCCCATGCAATTTCGGATTCATTCCTGGCTATTTTTTCCCTACATATTTCGGTTTCCTGTACTTGGAATTTCTGTTGTTTTCCCATGCAATTTCGGACTATTTTCATGGGCTCTGATTTCCTACTGCTAGCCATTCCGCTTTCCACTTTTACTGATTCCTAGTCTAGTGTTTTATCTTCTTGAGAAGAGGCTTTTATTGGCTACTTGGGGTGGCACATTTATGTTTGTTGGGTCTTTTTCTCATATAAAAGAGGTCGTTTTGCTGCTGAAAAGGGTGTTTTGTTGTCTGAGATAAAATCCAAACCTAAGGGTCTTCTTCCTAGCTTGAGAGCTATCTTCTTCCTACACCTATTTCTACTTCCTGGTCTTCTATCTATTTCTTCTCTCCACGGTTTCCCTTCTACTTGTATATTTCTTCTCCAAAATATAGTGAGTGTGGTGTTGGAGAATTTTGTTGTCCTCAAACGGATTGCATACTTTATAATTGATTACAGCATAAGAATGGTGATACATTACCCCGAAGGATAAAAATATCATTTCCTTATGGACTCAATGATAAAATTTACAATTTAACTGAGATTCCCCTATTCAATATTTGGTCGAATGGGGTTTATTTATTCTGGGGAACAAACATCCCATAGGTGCAAGCCCCTATGGTTAATTACATCTCAAGCTTTGGTGCTTCATAAGACTATTGAAAAAACTAATGTTTTTCTTGTTTTTGAAAGTCGTTTAATATTGGCTAAAATTTAATTTTTTTGAAAATCCGTAAGTCTTGTTTAAAGGTTTCGGGCTTTAGGAATTTCAAGAGGGGGAAAATATCAACTTAGAATCAGATTTTGAAATGAGAGCCAAAGGAAATGAAGTAGGAACACTTGATTCTGAGAAATCTCAGAGGTGCTCAGACTATCCTATGACGGGTTTTACATTTTTGAAATTTAACTTTGTTTGAGTATATCATTTTAATTAGAATATCGGGACTTATATACCAACAACACGTGTTGGAGGAACTACCCGGAATGTGAGGACTTACATGGTGAATGGAATCAACCATTTACCTCGGATCCTAGAACTAAGGTGAGGACTACCGAGAAGTAGTGTCTCGAACCTAAGTCTAACGAATGCAAAAGGGACATATAATCTACACCTCACATGAGGCATAGACAACCCGACCTCTGGATTTATTGTCCTTCCTGGAAAGGACTACCAGCTAAACCCTCCTAATCATTTTTAAAACCATGTATTCCGATCTCAATACAAATGTAGAGTAGGAAGGCTATCTTGTTTAGGAATGTAGGACTTACAACTTGGCTTTGAGGATAGAGAGTTCAGATGATGCGTTCAATTGTGAATTGCCAGTTATTCATAGTTGAGGAAAGAGATCCTATATAAAGCTCTTCATTCTAATTACACCATTCATACAACAACAATAACAACAACATCAAGCCTTTGTCCCATTAAGTGGGGTCGGCTACATGAATCCTTTTTTTCCATTGTGTCTAGTTATAAGTCAAATTCTCATTTAAATCTAATAAGGAAAGATCATTTCTAATATTTTCTAACAAAGTCTTTTTAGGTCTACCTCTACCTTTCTTAACATAAGTCAAATCTAATACCTCAACTTTCTTAATCGGGTCATCAAGAGGCCTTCATTTAATGTGACCAAACCATCTAAGGCGACTCTCTCTAATCTTATCTTCCACTAGAGCTACTCCAACCTTTTCACGTATATGCTCATTTCGTATCCTATCTCTAAGGGTCCAGCCACTCATCCACCTAAGCATCCTCATCTCTGCAACACTTAAATTAGTATTATGCTTCTCTTTTAATGGCCAACATTCGGCACCATAAAGCATTGCAGGTCTCACCACCATGTTGTAGAACTTTCCCTTAAGTTTGAGGGGGACTTTTCTATCGCACAATAAACCCAATGCATTCCTCCACTTCAACCATCCAACTTGAATTTTGCTGATAATATCCCCATCAATTTCACCATCACCTTGAACAATAGATCCAAGATATCTAAAACGTGTACTCTTATTAATGATTTCATCACCCAAAAATCAACAATCCTCTAGGTCTATTAACTAGCTAAAATTACACTCCAATACATTCAGTTTTAGATCTACTCAAGTGTAACCTTAGACTCCTAAAGTTGACCTCCATAATCAAGGGTTTTTTAACCTTTCACTTCCCTTCTCTAGTCTTATCAACAAGAAGAATATCATCAACAAAAAGCATACACCAAGTCATCCTCTTGCAAATGTCTAGTGAGAACATCATGACTAAAGGCAAAAGATATGGACTTAAGGCTAATCCTTGATGTAATCCAACGAAATAAGAAAATACTTGGTCAAACACCTTTGTTTGAATCACAAGTATAGCTCTGCATACATAATTTTAATGATTTGAATAATAAGCATTATTAAGCGTCCTTTTTTCAAGACTACTCCATAGACTTCTTCTTGAAACTGTTAATCATATGCTTTCCTCTAAATCAATAATATCATATGTAAGAGTCCTCCTTATTCTCTCTATATTTCTCCACAACCCTCAATAAATGATATAGCTTCCATAGTAAGTGTTGACTGTTAATACGTTATTCCACCGGACAAAACCCACGACTCAACGCTCATATCACATTCGACTTAACCTATGATCGGACACGTGAATAGGACAATTCACCACCGGACCATACTCACGTCCAAAAAATACTCTCCCAGTTCGGATGTCCGTTACAACACTCAACTCACACGCACAGAGAGAAAGAGAAGGAGAAACCGGAAGCTCATACCTGCCTCCGTCTGTCTCCAAACCGCTGGCCGAACTCACACCGAGTCTACTTCCCGTCGATCCCGTCCTCAACGCCGCGCCTGCGACGACGCCGCCTCCGCCTGCCGACGCCGAACCTCGGCCTTCGTCGCCGACCAGCTCGCCCCGCCGATCCCGCCATGTGTGACCTCCGATCTCTGCCCTAGCCGACTCCTGGCTTTCCTCCCATCTCCCTCTCTGTTATGTATACATAAAATATTATTATAATAAATTATAATCATATATTATATAATCATATATAATACATATTACATTATAATATATATCATAATGATATATGTATATATAATATTAATTATATATGATATATATATTATATATTTATATAATATATATATTATAACTATGTATAAAATAAGATAAATAAAAGAGAGAGAAAGAAGAATGATTTTCAACAGTGTGTCGAAGAAACCCCGGTCCGTC